AGTCTTCCGTGGCAGTTATCTTGCAGCAGCCATTTTTTTTGCTGTGCCCACTGTGCCATGTCAGAATTTCAAATGTGCCCGCAGGGTCAAAAAGGTTGGGGACCCCTGATCTACACTACAACTGGCAGTGTCAACATTTTTTTAACCACCAGATAAGAGCTTGATGAGGAATTCTTAGATTTTTTGTCTCACAAAACCCTAGCATGTCAGGAAAAAGCTAGCCTCTATCTAGCTTTCTATGAACGGGGAATTGTAATAGGAATTCTGAGGACATAGGCTTATGTCCTCACTGAATAATAGGCCCCGAAGTAGGAGGCAGAAGAGAAGTTCTCCAGCCCACAACATAGTGAATACTAGGAATATGCCATTTATCACACAAACTGATAACTGGGTATTATTTCAGAGTCCTGAAACTTTCAGATCTTGTCACTTAAAAAGCAAATGGCATAAATGTTGCTATGAAGCCTCCCTATTTGCATAAATCCCTTAAGTAATTGGCTAAGGAACTAGTAAGGTTATGACTAAGTACTAAGATCTCTCCTTATATTACCTTTGTGGCATGACCACCATGGCAGGCAGTACTGACCCATGCCAACAGGGTCATCTGAGAAGCCCCAGGTGATAGAAGAACCCATACTGGGACTCTTTTATATGCCAGCATCACCTCTCCTGGAATGCTGGGCAAGTATGGGAAGGAATAACAGCTCTCTCCCAGGAGTTTCTCACATTTAACCTAAGGCTTCTCACATTACAATGGTAGCACAATAAAGTACCAGAACAGAACAGCAGCTACCAAACCACAGAAACAACATAAAAAGGAGCCCTGTCAAAATCCATCCCACTGTATAGAGTCTGCAAAATCAAAATATCTGGACTTTTGCTCTCTTGTATTTGTTCTAGTTTCTTTTGGTTTCAAATGCTCATGACTAAAGCAGTTTATTATTTGTCACTCTTCAAAAAGAACAATACTTATGTGAAGAGTTACTGACTGTATAATGTTGAAGAAATGGACGATGTAGTCTAGAAATTCAGTACATTCCCTTCCCCCTGCTCATGTGGGAAGTACAGACAGGGCAAGGAAAAACAAAATAAGCCCTTGAGATGTATGTGAGGGCTAGGGGAGAAGGAAAATTACTTGGCTTAGCCAAAATAATGCATATTAAGCAGACACACAATAGCCTCACAAGGTTCCTTCCAGGGTAATAAAGTAAAAGAAAGGAACTATTTACACTGAAAAGCAGTGAGCTAGACAATGAGCTTGTGTTTGCTAAAAGAAAAAATTAAACTGGGAAATTACAGGAAAGTTCTGGGTAGCAAGGGCAGATCAAAATGTAGAACAGCTTCCTTAATGAGGTAGTTATCACTAACAAAACAGAATAGTATTTCCCAATATAAGCAGACCAAATAATTTATTTCTCCCATTCATTTTGCTTTAAGACATGTCCCAATGAAAAATCGACAAAGCAACAGCTTTGGTTTACTTCTGGCTGTTAGCCTCTCTCTCCTCCTCGGTGAAGCTATAACGCAGCCATCAAAAAGAGAACATGAAATAATAAGCGCAATTGTTTCAACAGCATCACAGCTATTACTTCAGAGAATACAAGCATGTAGAGATCCTGATTTCCCAGTTTGCCCTTTCCATGAAGCACCACAGTGGAAAATAGAAATTGAACCAAGCTCCTCTCCTGTTATCCAAATGTCAAAAAATACTTGTGCTGCCACTATCAGAGCTCCTCAATTACCCAAGCAGACTATTCTAAAGACAATTTATTCTCCACTGGATGCTATAAACAGATCATGAACACTGATCTCGTCAGTTTGTATAAATTTAACACCACACTGCTCATTTGGTCCTTGCTGGATTTCAGCCACAGATATACTGGCCTTCTTCTGTTTGCTCAATATGTGGCCCTGTTTGGCTTACATAGAGGTTAGCTTCAGACCTGATATGTCATGTTATCTTAAAGATCAGAGACACACAGTTGCTTATTTCAGGGGAATGCTCTCAGAAGTATTTCAATCCAAACATCAGTATTATTGTTTTCGGAGGGGGAAATCAGAATCCCGACCAAAAAAATGTTCTAAATACCACCAAATGCAAAGTATTTTGCATTTTCATCCACAAGGAGCAAATGTTTAACACTGATCTTCCTAGAACTATAATCCACCCAATACCAAAATTGTGACATCACTGCATCATATTAAACATAGTCTCATGAAAGCTTACAGGCTCCTATCTCCACCCATCCCATATCCCTACAATAGAAAGATGCCCATCTGTATGTCAGGTTCTACATCATTCTGCTGCACAGATTCACTGTTTGCAATCAAAACAAAAAAGCAAGATAAGCCTCAAACCAGTGCTTTGCGGGGGGGGGGGGACGACTCTGGCTGAACAAATATCAGGAATCACCTAGAGGATTTCGGGGGGGGGGACTATTATTTTCATTCTACCCCCCTTCCTCCATACAAACTTGAGGCTTTTCTTCTCTTGGAAGAACAGAACACATAGTTTTTGTTGCGAGTACACTAACAGACCAAATATCTCCAGCTTCCCACCAATTACAAATGAATCTTGTTTGGAATCACCAAGATTAATGGGGCTAACACTAGCAGGATACTGCTCCACTTTCAAGTGTGTTATTGCATAGCAAATTATCGCTTTAAGCACAGTATCTCCTTCCAGTCCTGAAACTAAGTTCTAACTCATATTGTGAACCCAACCAAGTTTGCTTCAGGTCTTCTGAACTGCGTTATCTCACAATGAGCAAAGTCCAGGATTTTTTTTTTTTAATTTACAGTCTTCTGTTAGTCAGACAGTCTTGGCATTCCCAATTTCTACATTCAACAAATTGTACAAATAATCCTTGCTGCTGTTACCTGCAAATATTGTACAAGCATTGCAGTAAAAGGTTTCCAGTAAGAAAATGCTGCTTTATGCTATCATAAAAGCTTGTCACCCAGCAATAATTCAAGTTTCCACTAACAATAGGTATGTTAATATTGAGATGCTTAGGGGTCTTTTTCCAACAGCTAAATTTAAGATTTAAAAGTTATATTAGCATATCTGACTAAGTTCATCAAATTGTTAGCGTTTTAAGGGATGGCATTGTGTACAAGCTAATTTGATGATCTCCTCTCTCGGGTTTTTAGTTAGTGGTGGTTATCTTTTCTTTCTCCTTAAATGTAGTTCCCCTCCCCTATTTTCATTGTAGCTTGTAGTCCTTATATAAAATGCAATAAAAAAATCCCCTTCGGGGGGCCCCAAAAAAAAAGTATTGGAAGTGCTTGACCACACGGAAATATGGCTACTTTGCCGGGAGAATTCTAGCAGGGGCTTATCTTGGTATGAGCCTGGGGTAGGCTATGTGCACAGAATATCAAAGATGTAAAGAAAAAGAAGAAGAGACTGGATTTATATCCCGCCCTTCACTCAGTGTGCGGTCACACGGTCCTTTTAATAGGGGTTCGCCACTGTTCCCTCCCGCATTTAAGTTTGCTGATCAGACAGGCAAATCCGCCTCCCGCACCGAAACGGGCTCACTCCCACAATGCTCCCGGGTTTTCCTGCCTGCTGGAAAATCAAGTATTTTGCTGGCACTTGCGCTTGGAATGCGCGATTTTGCCCATCTTGACAGCCATCTTTCGCAATGATTGCAATTAGGGCCGTCTGACTGCTCTGTGCATTACCGCTCTTTGGGTGTGTGTTTTTTTAAAGCTTCCGGTTTAAGCGCTTGGGCAAACATACGCTTAATAAGTCCATTATTAAACGTTATTTTTATGTTCATTTCTCTGTTTAAAGATAATATGAATTTGTTGTAAGAAACAGAAGCCCCTTCCCCAGGAAGGAGGATGGCGGAGACGGCGGGGCTGAGCCTTTTTTCATGGGGCAATGGCAGCAGAAGCGGCACCACCGCCCACAGCGGCAGCAAGAGCAGCAGCCACCCGAGCCTGCCCCATGGCTGGCAGGATCGCCTGGAGGGACTCGGTGCGGTGGAGGCTTCGCCGCAGCCCTAATGAGACGAGCTGAGTGCAGTAGCCCTCTTGGCTGGTCTTCCTTTTCCTGCCCCTCCGGGACTGGTCGGGCAGGCGGCTTGCTGGAGCTGTCATATTATCTTTAAACATACAAATGAACATAAAATAACGTTTAATAATGGATTTATTAAGCGCATGTTTGCCCAAGCGCTCAAACTGGAAGCTTTTTTCTAAAAAAAAAACCATGGGTAATGCACAGCAATTTTCCTTAGGAGCTGGCAGGCGAGTGGGTGGTGGAAGAGAGGGGCCGGCTGCATCTAATCAGCCCAATCCGTAGAAAAATGTTCCCGATTAAATTAAAGCAGGAACAAAGCAGAATTACCTTCCTGTGTGAGAACAGCCCTGAGAGAACTTTGACTGATCCAAGGCCACCCAGTAGCTGCATGTGGGGGAGTGGGGAATCAAACCCAGTTCTCCTAGATTAGAGTCCATGCACTTAACCACTACACCAAACTGCTTACCAGCTCCAATCCACAGGCACATACTTTATTACCTGTGTACAAATCCTTGCCTCACAACAACTTCTCAGGGTAACATTCTGTAGGAGTCCATAAACTGGACAGAACAGGAAATGGGATTCACACCATTAATCCTGGTGGCGAGGGGAGGGCAACCCATACAGAAGAATTCTCTGATCCTCCTGAAAATTAGAGGAAATTACTATGTTTCTAAATGATTCACAAACTGCAGGATAATTTAGAGATGTGACATATGGACCTTGGTTTTACCCAACAGTTTCAGAAAGGCTTTGAACAAGAACCCCTTGTTCTGCTCCCTCTAACCCGCCAAACTATCTTTCAACAAAAGTAACCTAGGTGCAGGGAAAACCATAAGCAAGCGACAAAGGGAGTGGATTTAAAGTTCTAAATCTAAGAGCACTGTAAAGAATACACAAATCCATCTACAAAATAGGTAGCTACACAAAATGCACAATGTTTAAAACTGCAGAGGAAAAACCTATTTACCTCGTAATAACTTCGAACTGCATTGCAAAATGCTTCATCAGCCACAATTTGTGTCTCTCCATTGAGAAAAGCCTGGAAGCGCTCCTTCACAACCTGTAGCTGTTGCTTGTTCAGCTGGAAAAAGAACAAGAATCTAATTAGTAAAGCAAAACGGTTTGGTTTATTCCATCGTTTATCCTCAATAGCCATATGGGATTGGCTGGGCTGCCAAGATGCAGGCCTGATATATGTGACCACTACTCATGTTTAAGGGACTGGGAAATCTTGCCATTCTGACATAAGAATTCCCTCCCCTGTCACTTTGTCACTACTTCCAACAGCTTGGTTTCAAAAGAAGTATCCGGGTAATTTGTGCCCCCACTTATTTGCTTGAAGAGCAATCAAGATGGATTACAACAAAAAATCAATTAAAAACAATCAGAATTTTAAAAACATAAAAACTGTTACAGTTGCAAATCAAACAAAAGAAACAGTCAATGCTCAAAACAGCAAGCAAGGGGACAACATAAAATCACAGAAAGCTGATTAAGATCAACCTAGCCATCATCTACAATAAATATTAGCAGCCACCTGAGAGTCCTCAAGCACAGTGGTTCTCAGCTGGCAACACATACCACGCACAGGATGCAGAAGTAGTCTAGGTGGGATGCGGGGCTTTCATACTAATTACTAAGAATCTCCTCTCAGTCTAAACTCAAATCCACTTACAAGCACGATGTACAGACCCTACCTACCTGCCACAGATTACTCGTCTATAGCCTTTTGGCATGACAGAAGTAACCTTGAATACTTGGTGTTTCTTCTAATCCCCTGCACATTTTGCCCACCAGCAAGTATCTTTGATGTGCTGTGTCTTGCTGACCCAACCTGCCAGGGATTACCCACTGTGCTTCTGTAATTTTTATGTCTTTAAACCTTAATATATATGATAAGTATAGTAACAGAATGCCTGTAAATACTGTTCTTAGGAAAAGTGAGATTTTTGTTTCTATCATGGTAGGACCCTGTTTTTTTGACTGATTAGTAGAATGCAAGATATGAAAGGTTGAGAGCCACTTCTCTTGAAAGCCACACAAACATGTCCATAAACTTTCTTTCAGTGCCACAATTAAACCCCTGTTCAGTTGTCCACTGTCCCTGTCATGGCCTCCAAAGTTACTTCAACAGCACCACTGCATACATACATCATCATACAACATCACACAACAGACAACATCACTGTTTTTCTTTCCTTGTAAAAAGCTTCAAAACTGGAAACACAGCCAGAGAAATATGCTCAACAGGGTTAGTATGGACAGTGGCCGAACGAAGCAAGCTAGTCTCATATATTTGCTTCTCCCTCATTGGCTACATCTTTAGAGCAATCTCATAAGATCTTGGAAGCTATACAAGGTCAGCCCTGATTAGCACTTGGATGGGAGACCACCAAGGAGTTCAGGGTTGCTGTGCAGAGGCAAGCAATGGCTAACCACCTCTGCTTGCCTTGAAAACCCTATGGGGTTGCCATAAGTCTGCTGTGACTTGGCAGCACTTTCCACCACCAGTGTAAGCCATGTTGTTATTATAGTTCCATTAGCAGCAACATTAAGAGATCAGGCAGGGCTGCATTTACCAGCAGGATGCATGGTTGTTACCTGTAATTAACAGATTGGAGCACACTCATTGTATGCAATATGGACCAGCTATACCCAAGATCCCAGCAGTTCAATCTGGCCTAGGAATGGAACAAAAAACAATTGATGTAGTGGAAGAATTATTTTAATTCAACTCTGAGACACCTATGATTTTCACATACACTTCATCAGGAGGATCTGTAAAATATCATGGTCCGAATATTTCCTACAGCGACAGTACTTAAGAAAACACTGATAAAGTGTATGCAAAATGCATAGGGATCTCAGAGTGAATTAAATTAACCCTCCCACAGCACCAATAGCCTCTTGTTTTTGCTCCATGCTTGGTGCAGCCCTCCTTTTATTCCTAGGAAATGTGCAACAGCACCAGCAGGGAGGGGAAAGGCCCACACCAATTTTATTGATTCAAAGGCCTGCTTTAGAACACCATGGGGAATTTCACATTACCCTTTTTAAGCCGGTTTTAAGCCGTTATTGATCCATCTTGGAGTAAATCGGTACAGGGCTGCCATTTCACACAAGCCTTTCCCCTACCGGTAAAGAGCCGTCTCTGAAGTGGTTTGGCATTTCAGACTGCACTGCTTTTTCTCACCCTTTTTCGCCCGCGTGGGCGATCTCTGTCTTTTTTTTTAACATTTGTTTTAGAGTGCTATAGCGCTATAACGCAACACCAAAACAGCACTATAGCAGCCCCATTGGAATGCCGGGACTCCACTGGGATATATGAGATGGCTACATCTGCCACCTGGAAACAAGTACCCCATTGGATACAGGATTCAAGTGGGAGATCAGGGCATCCGTGATTGGTGAGACCGATGTTGCTAACCCAGCCTGATGTGCACCCATTCATGCCAAGAGGCGACTGGCTGGGAAGAGACTGGCACAGAGCTGGGTCAGGTATAAAGGGCAGGGAGGCAACCCATCTTTGTGGGTTGAAGTTGGTGAGTGGTAGACTTGTCTGGTTACAGTGGTTTTGTGTGGCTGGGTGAGAGGCTACTGATCTATTAGTCATGGTCTCCATAAATACCTTGTTGCAACCCATCACCTTCCCGACTCATCTTTGAGCATGGAAGGGTTAGCAACATCTGTCTCACCAATCACTGATGCCCTGATCTCCCGCTTGAAGCCTGTATCCAATGGGGTACTTGTTTCCAGGTGGCAGATGTAGCCATCTCATGTATCCCAGTGGAGTCCAGGCATTCCAACTGCGCAGTTTCCGGCCTTCCCCGTTGGCCCCAGAGGCGTCCCCGGGGCTTCCTGCACATGCGGCTCCTCTCGGGCTGCGCCGCCCGCTCCGGGCGCGCCCGCTGCTTCGCTCTCCTCTCGCCGCCGCATTTCGGTCCGTCGGGCGGCCGCTGCCAGGTGAGTCAGCGCGGGCGCCGGGGTTCGGGGGTCCTTCTTCCCCTTGCCCGCCTCCTGGGGTCCCCTGGTCCCGGACATCGGGAACGGGACAGAAAGCAAGAAATTGCAAGTAGATAAATAGGTACCACTTCAGTGGGAAGGTAACAGCATCCCATGCGTCTTGGTGTTTAGTCATGCCGGCCACATGACCACGGAAACGTCTCCGGACAGCACTGGCTCTTCGGCTTTGAAACGGAGATGAGCACCGCAACCCTAGAATCGGATTCGACTGGCTTTCGAGCAAGGGAACCTTTACCTTTACCTTAATATAACAGAATGGTTCAGGATGGTTCTTTTATAAAGAGAACAGGACTGTAACATATGCCACTGTGTATGCTATGAATTATTTTTGTATGTATTATCCTACTTTTATTGAACTGTTTCCCACTTTTGTTATTCCATGTTCTACATCACTGTGGTATCAGACCTGATACTGTTTTTGTAGTCCTAGTTCTATTGCATTTTTCATTTGACCTCTCATGCATTTGATTAAATTGTTTGACCCCATGCAATCTGCCTTGAGACTCAATGAGGTGGACTACAAATTAAGTAAATAAATAGCCCTTTAAAAGTACTGTTTATCATTTTATACATTTTCAGTGTTCCAGAACAGAACACTCTGAAGTAGGCCTTTAAGATAGCACCAAGCTTTCCAGTCAGTCAAAAAAACTGTTCTAGGATTTACTTCTTGCCAGTCTCAAACATATTGAAGTTGGTCGTTAAAATATTTTTCCTGACATTTACCACATCCTATATATAATTCCCTTATGTATTGGGCATTTCCAGCTGTCCCATTGGCTGTGCACGGCACTCCATCAGCCATTGGCCCATCAACTGCCACTCAAGAGTACTCGCATGCCATTCGCTGGGTGCTGGGTCCACTCCTTTCCCCTGCCCACTGCCAGCCTGGACACTCTTCTCTCACAGAATTAACTATCAAAACGGCTGTCTCTCCTGACGAAGGCACTTCTCCTTCTTGGCTCCCATGGAGTAACTTTTCCCTCAGTGGCTGTTGCTAGGCAACCAAGCTTGGTTCTGTCAGTAAAAAGGCAAACGAAGGAAGCCCTTTCCAAGCCTTTATGGGAAACTCATTGGGGCCAGTCCTGACCAGGGTTGCCAGCTCCAGGTTGGGAAATTCCTGGATATTCTCTGGTGAAGTCTAAGGGAGCCAGAGTTTGGGGAGGGGAGAGGCCTCAACTGAATTGAATGCAATACAAACCACTCTCCGAAGCAGTTATTTTCTTTGGGGGGGAGAGATCTGTTCTGGAGTTCAGTTGTGATACCTGGCAATCTTCAGGCTCCACCTGGAGGCTGGCTACCCTAGGCGTAGCAGTTAGCGCTTCAGAGCAGGGTTTGCTAGACCCAAGTTCTTGCTGTGGAAACTGAGGGGTGATTTCAGACCAGTCAAAGACTTTCAGCCTAACCTACAAAAGGGGGAGAGGAGAATGATGTAAACTGCTTTGGTCTCCACTGTGGAGAAAGACTGTACTTTTCCTCCTGGGGAACCATTACTGACAATCTCAAGGTAAGGACTGGAGACCACTCAGAATTAAAACAGCTCTCCAGATAGTAGACATCAGGGGCAGATAACGGTAGGTTGATGGTTGGCTGGGAAGGAGATAGGGTTGCCACCTCCAGGTTGAGAAATTCCTGGAGATTTGAGGGGTGGAGCCTGAAGAGGGTGGGGTTTGAGGAAGGGTGGGACCTCAGACAGGTACAGTGCCAAAGACCCCACCCTCCAAACCAACCATTTCCTCCTGGGGCCATTGCTGCCAATTTCCAGGTGAAGGTTAAATATGAGTCAGAATTACAACTGCTCTCCAGATGGCAGAGATCAGTTCCCCTGGAGAAAATGGTGGGGTCTGTGTCATCATACCCTGCTGAGATCGCTTCTCTCCTGCTTGGGTCCCCACTGCAGAGAAAAACTGTAGTTTTCCTAGGTAGAAGCTGCAGATTTATTTATATATTTATTTATTTTTGGGGATTTATATCCCGCCCTACCCATACGGCCAAGGGCGGCAAACAGGCGGCGTATGCCGAGATAAAACATAGAATACATTAAAATTCAATAAATACAAC